TATCGCGATTCAATTATACCGCTAGCGCCATCTATCGAAAGTAATTTATAACAATAGAAACCTGATTTTTTAGGTAAGCAATATTTAATTAAGTTATACAGTGTGCATTATGAATACATGACAATATTTTATATCCCTTATATATATCAGTTCTTAAGAAGCGCCCCACACTTTTTTCACAATAATATTAATTTAAAAATAAATTAACAAACAATAAATGGTATTTTTGTGAAAAAAAGCGTGGGGAGCTTCATATATCACTTCTTGAGAAGCGCCCCAAGCTTTTTTTTCAATAATACCATTTGTTGTTTATTTTAAACAATTTAAATTAAATTGATTTCCAAGGTTGTAAAGGTTAAATTAGTTTCCACGCGGTTTCTTTCATCATTGGAGCGTGTTTTTTTAGTTTTTTTTTTAAACTATATTTATTTTTAATTTTTTAGTTTCATTTATCACCGATTGATAGATGTACTCATATTATTAATTATTAATATTTCATTATTATGTATTTTATTGTGCTGAGCTAAGCGCCTATATAAAGGTTTTGATTACCTGTCAGTGAGTCAGTGCCAAAATTAGCTATTTTCACAGGGTCATATTTCAGGATCTACTGAAGCTTTATCTATGAAATTTGGCATACTGCTTTAGGACTAGTATATGATTACGTAGGTACAATTTTATCTCTGTACTTGCAATAGACACTGAGCTACAGGGGGTCAAAAGTGGGTCGAATTTATTAAAAATTCGATATTTAGAATTGAGGCAACTCACGCTTGACCGATTTCTTAAATTTCTTAATTTTTTGTTAATCTACATATAACACACAACCTGTGTACCAAATTTGATAATGCTAAAACAATGGGAAGTGGCCTAGAGGTTTTGATTACCTGTCAGTGAGTCAGTGCCAAAATTAGCTATTTTCACAGGGTCATATTTCAGGATCTACTGAAGCTTTATCTATGAAATTTGGCATACTGCCTTAGGACTAGTATATGATTACGTAGGTAAAAATTTATCTCTGTACTTGCAATAGGCACTGAGCTACAGGGGGGCCAAAAGTGGGTCGAAACGGTTCGTGTAAATATAGTGCACGGCATGCGCCGGCCTGTGGAACTTGGCCGGCGCACTACCGTGCGCTTAGAACAAAATAGCAGGGGTTATTGTTATGTCGATGTCGAACCCAAAAATGTTATTAACTTTTTTTTATGTCTGTTTGTCTGTTCACGCTAATCTCAGAAACGGCTGATCCGAGTTAGATGCGGTTTTCACGAATATATTGTGGTATGCTTCAGTTATGCTTTAGTGTTTGTTTCATGTCAATCGGTTTATAAATAAAAAATTATGTCTAATTAAAGAATCACGTCGAACACTATTCTATGCTTATACATACATATGTATATACGATGGCCATACGTCTAATATTGTATATAGAGAAGCATTACAGTAAAGTAGGTTTTTTAGCTACCCAAAATGACTGTGATTATGATCCAAAATAAAAATAAGTATATATTTAAAAAAAAGCGCTGCTCATAGTCACTATTCCACGCGAACGAAGTCGCGGGCACAGCTAGTTATGTAATATATTGTGTCAGGAACAACGATCGTTACAAAGGACAAAGTCTGTGTTCTCGCTCCAGAGAGATTTTTCTCTCAAATATTATTAATTATTTTACATGTCTGTTGAAAAAGTCTTCAATTTATATGTATTACTATGTAATTTGAAATTAACAAAAAATTTCAGCTAATTTATAAACTATAGATTTATTATGCAAATATGATTTCGTTGAAAAGAATTTCCAATAAAAATATATTTTATTCACTTATCACATGTTGCATTACATTTTGTAACAAAGTACCAAGAGGTAAAATCAAAGGAGCCCAGTATGTCAATTTAGGTCAATATGTGCCAATAGCTCACATAAGCCTACCGTGTAGTATTTATGTTCTCACTCAATCAAGCGCTCGCTCCGTGATTCTGTAGAATTATTTTTGTGTTTCGTAGATAAAGTACTCATATAGTATGGTTTTATATATTTTCTTAATTCTTTACAATCGTCTTTGGAATACGATATATCAAACATTATTTCCGTCAAATTCATTAATTCACTTTTCACTTGGATCTTGGTTTGTCAAACACCCTGTCACTCTTTACAAGAATCTTTTGTACTGTAATTACAACGTGTACATACATTTGTTTATTTACTTGTGCTACGTAATATTATTTATAAAAAAACCATAGATTTTAGATCAACGGGACGGTTTTTATTATCGTTATATTATATTCGTATGAAATTGTGTTCAAACTCCGAGACCTACACAGGTTCAACTTCAATAACGACCTTCCTTTTAGTATCCATAAATTGTTTTCTGATTATTTCTAGGCCGTTGTTTCCAATAACACGTAACTCAATCTAGAGGAAAGCCTTTGTTTGAACTGAATCGCATACACCGATATTGAAACATATAGCCTAAATCAAGGCACCAGAGTATAATTTTGAAATCTAAGCCTTAAAATCATTGCACGTTGATTAAAATTTTACTTTTTAGGTGATGATATAAAGTCTTTTTTTAAATAGCTTAACGTATAAGAAATTTGAAACCAATGCTTTATTTTCATCTTATGTGTTTGAATGTGATGATTTCAGCGACGTACATTTATAGACAAAAATTCTGAACAATAAAATGAAACAACATAATATATAAAAACAGACGGCGTTTGTTATAATCATTCAGTACATAAAAGTTTATAGTAAAACTAAAAGATAATAACTTCCATTTATAACTAAAGAAATCTACTAAATATATTAAAAAATGATTAAAATACAAGAAACCAACTTAAGTGAATTGTATTTCCCATATGTAGAAGAAAATCTTCTATAGGTACCTTTACCTTACCTTTATGAGACCCTGGTACTTACATTGCCACCAGAGTTTGGACTTTAACACATTATTATAAAGTATAAAACCAATAAATATTTTTTTAGTTCTGTTTCTTATAAAGGCTTAAGCCTCATGTGAACGTGGTCTAAACAATATTAACAATATTAATGATAATAATAAATATTACCAATAGTTTAACTTAATACATAAGGAGTTACACGCTGACGGAGTCGTGGGCAAAAGCTAGTTATAAATAATTTAATAGTTGTGACGTGATGGAAAAATCTCATATTTGTTTATCCTTTTATACTCAAAGTACATATAATGCACAAAGGAAACGATTAAAGCTTACGTGTATACACTTTCATTTAACATTAATGATTAAGAAAAAAGATAATTTCTTAAGATGCTTAACAAGCACGAAAATTAATTCCAAAGATCAATATATATTTGTATGTGGGCATTAACAGTTGAAATAAGAAAAATACGTACTTATTGAACAATAAGTATGTATGTTAGTTAATGCGCTTGATCCACTGGAAATAAAGAGTCACAAGTGTGTCTTTGTAAAAAAATATTTTAAAATATCTACAATGAACATTCATATAACTGCATACTAATAATAATAATAATGAGAATTAATCTTCCTGCACCACTCTTAAATCACTTAGAGTTTTTATGTGTTCGTGTTCAATAAAACTTTCTGAGAAGGATGTCTGAGAGAAGTCGGCGGCGGGAAATGTAATGACATTCAAGTTAACTTTAGACTTTCAAAGAAAAATTACAGGCTTTGAGACGATGAAGATGACTTATAATTATAGATTACAGAAGAAAATATCATGAATTTGTATTAAAATTTAAGTTAAGTTCAAGTTAATTATAATATATGTCTACTAGTTGTTAGCATATTCATTCAGACACATACAATCCGATCATTAAACCTTCCGACATTCACTTCATTCATTCGATCACAATTCTTTCACTACGCGGCAAACGGCAACGGTCGGCATTCTTGTTCGAGCACCCGAGGCGATCGTTAAAAAGTAAGAAGTGCTGTTGGTTGATTCTCCGGAGATACTTGTAGTGTTACATATTATCGACAAGTAAGTGATCGATTTCATCATGATTATTCTAATAATAATGTATGTAAAGTGTCAGTTTAAATGGTAATAAATAGTGTGAATGTTTCTCATCAAATATATTCGTTTTAATTTAATGAAACCCTCTCCTTCTGAACTCGTTATTTAACAGTTCAGAAGTGGGATCAAAAGAAAATTCACATAATTTTCTTTGTCACGTCCACAAGCAATATGAAATTAACACGACAATATATATTTTTTTTTCCCCGATGTGGGTAAGTTGATAATTGCAGTGACGATAATATTGCCGTTGGTATTGATGTGAAACATTCATATTATGGTATATTAGAGTACGTAATTAGTGAGACAGTCGTAATTTCACATTATATATTTTGTATTTTACGAATATTAATATAATGAGTATTAATACAAATGAATATTAATATACTATCAAGTGGTTATTTTAATATAATATGCTATATCCTTTTTATTATGAAATAACCGATTCCTTCCTTTAATATGTATGTGATTCTTTTACAAACATATACATATAACATAAAGAACAAAACCTGATTCTGTTTAGATAGGATGACGGGATGATGGAGATATTGAGCTGTTTTTAAGCTATTAAGCCTTATACTTGTTTTCTTTGTTACTAGTATGCAATCAATGATATTTAATACATATGTATATATGTGTGTATATATATAACTATTGTTTTATTATTATTTTTAATTAACGCTCTTTTTATTTTATTTTATTAATTTATATAAAAATATATAAATGATGGGAATGGTTATACATAAATAAATGGTCGCCCCAAAATTACTTTAAAAGTAGGTAAGCTGCTTGATTTGCTAAAAGTGGTTTAAATAAATAAAATTACCACCCGAATAGTCTATCGACTTCTACACTATTATTGAATTAAGACAACAATACAATAATAATGATAATGAGTATTTACGATAATAATAATTTACTGATCGCGAATATATTCTAAGCTTACCGATCGTAAGTTTCAGATACTAATACAAATACAATATGGACAAGGACGAGCCCAGGTTAGAGGGCAGGGAAACATCCAGGTTTGAGGATGTTGACCAGCCCATGTCAGAGGGCAGGAGGACATCCAGGTTTGAGGATGTCGACGAGCCCAGGTCAGAGGGCAGGAGGGCATCCAGGTTTGAGGATGTCGACGAGCCCGGGTCAGAGGGCAGGAGGGTATCCAGGTTTGAGGATGTCGACGAGCTGGGGTCAGAGGGCAGGAGGGCATCCAGGTTTGAGGATGTCAACGAGCCGGGGTCAGAGGGCAGGAGAGCATCCAGGTTCGAGGATGTCAGTGAGCCCAGGTCAAAGGGCAGGGGAGCATCCAGGTTCGGGGATGGTGTGGAGCCCAGATCAGAGGATGGAAGGAGAAAGAAGGAAGAAACTTCACCGCGGGGCCGTGCTGTGACCAACGTGGATAGGCCAAGGAAGCGCAGGAGGCGCGAGAGGTCAAGTCGAATAGATTACAGCAGCGACAGTTGTAATGAATGTGAGTCAACTGGATTTTCTAATAATAGGAAGAACAAAAATTCCAGGGGATCTGAAACAAATTCTATATTAGATAAATTTTTGTCTATACTTAGTTCAGTCAAGAGTTCAGAGAAACCAAATCTGTCATTTAATAATAATGTAATACCGGATTTTGATCCTCTCAGTAAGGAACAGACTATTTTAGTTTGGATAAATAAAGTAGAGGAATGCGGAGAAATCTATGGATGGTCTGAAAAGGAGATCATCCATTATGCTCTGCCCAAACTTACAGGAGTAGCGAGAACTTGGTATCAGGGGTTACCAACCCTTTTACATACCTGGAGTGAATGGAAAAAAAAACTAATTGAGTCTTTTCCTTGTCGTGAGGACTACGCTGAACTCTTGACAGAAATGCTATCAAAGCGTGTGAGATACGGAGAATCTTTAGAGCATTATTACTACGCGAAACTAAACTTGTTAAACAGATGTGCGATTTATGGGAGAAGGGCTGTCGATTGCATGTTACACGGGATAGACGATCGTGCTATTAGGGTAGGTGCACAGGCAGCACAATTTAGCGAACCTGAACAAGTTCTCAAATATTTTAGGGCTGTAAAGGTAGGGCAAAGTAGAGAAAGCTTTGAGAGTAATGCGAGGAATAAAAATGACCGCAAGAGCTCCACTAACCCACCGAATCGTATATTCACTCCTAAAACTGGCGCTGTAAATTCAAATATAAGGTGTTTTAATTGTAACAACGTAGGTCATCCTAGTTTTAGATGCGATAAGCCCACGGTTAGATGCACTGAGTGCAATAGGTTAGGGCATCAGGCAGATAATTGTTTTAGAAAACATAAGACAGTCTGCGAGCGAAAATATAAAAGCTCAGCAAATAAAAGATGTAGCCAGATTTAATAGCCGGAGGAAAACAGGTAGAACATATAAGATAGGAGACTTAGTACGTATTGAGAGGCAAGTGCCTCATGACGGTAAATCCCAAAAATTAGTAGTCAAATTTCAAGGCCCATATCGAATAATAAAAGTGCTTCCTAATGACAGATATGTAGTTGAGGATACACCCATGACGCGGAAAAATAAACGTAGATATGAAGCCGTGATTGCAATCGACAAAATGCAACCGTGGTTAACTTTTTCCAGAGACTTAGACAGCGGTGATGATAGAGATGATTGTAATAGTGAAAACGGATTAGAAGAATAAAAAAAAAAAAAAAAAAAAAATAATAATAATAATAATAAATAAATAAAAATAATAATAATAATAATAATAATAATAATAATAATAATAATAATAATAAAATAAAATAAAATTGTGTTGTCTATCAAAAACTAACTAACGTTTATTAAGCATACTCCCATAGGTCGCACCAATATCACCATGATGATGATGATATTAAATAACTTCTTTTTTAGCTATCATGTGATTATAAAATCATTAAATTACTACTTAAATTGTTACAAAATAGGTATTTTTTTTATGTTGTTTTGATTGTTTATTAATGATGAAATTATTAATTTGAAACTTTCTAATTATAAATAGAAATAATGTTATTGTTATTTTTGTTGTTTTTTTTTTGTTTGTAAAGCACCTTTTCAATATTCTGTTAAATGTAAAATATACCCAATGAAGATTATAATATTATACTGAGGTAATTCTGCGCGAGGGCGCGCTTTGAACAGGATGGCCGAGCTGTTAGCATATTCATTCAGACACATACAATCCGATCATTAAACCTTCCGACATTCACTTCATTCATTCGATCACAATTCTTTCACTACGCGGCAAACGGCAACGGTCGGCATTCTTGTTCGAGCACCCGAGGCGATCGTTAAAAAGTAAGAAGTGCTGTTGGTTGATTCTCCGGAGATACTTGTAGTGTTACATATTATCGACAAGTAAGTGATCGATTTCATCATGATTATTCTAATAATAATGTATGTAAAGTGTCAGTTTAAATGGTAATAAATAGTGTGAATGTTTCTCATCAAATATATTCGTTTTAATTTAATGAAACCCTCTCCTTCTGAACTCGTTATTTAACATAGTGATAACCTTATGAATTTTAAAAGATGGACTAGGCTTCCATAACACATTTGAAATTATTATTTAGTTCGTATATTTATCTGGTAACAATAGTATTAATTACTGTACCATAAATGTAATGGTGGTATAGAAGGCCCGCCTGTCGAGTATGAGGTTGCGATTCGAAATTACGAATATCCGAAAAATATTAGTTTCATTTAAATGAATACTCGTGAAAGTCTTAGATTTCATTTTGTTCTCAGTATCATTTCAATTTATTTGAATATAAACTTTTATCAAAATGAGTAACAAAGTGACTTTCGACTTTTCTGTTTGAGACAAATCAGTTTAAATCAGCTGAATAATACATTTTTTTTCATCTCATATTTTGCTGTTTAATTTTTTCATTCGAAGCTACCGATGTGTGTTCTGTTGATCCTAACACATACCACACAACCCACATCCACAGTACAGTCATTATTCATATTTAATATAGTTAAATTTTATTTTTATTTGTACTACAAAATTTTGATCTATTTAAAAGGTATTTAAGAAGTGTAAACCATTGTTTTTTGTGTATAGTTTATTCTAAAATTAATAGTAATGTAGTACATACATTCTACATTAGGGATTGATTCGTTACTATAATGATACAAGTTAATAAGTATCACTTACTAGAAAAAAGAATCCGTAAGGAGTTAACTGACTGGACTTATACATACCTATATGATCAGTGTTGATGATATTATATACTATACAATAAAATAAAACGACTAATAACATCTAATATTAGAAGATTAGGTATCAATTATTGAGGCCTTGTGTTTTTTTCCTTATACTTGGAAGGCAGTTTTTATTGAGCTCACAAATAATTCTGCTGAGATCGTAAAAGATTGTTTATTAATAATATGAAGTGAAGTATCTTACGTCTATAACATACCACACATAAAAGAGTAAAACTAGTATGTAGTAAAGTAACGATTTAATTTTTATACTAATACTAGCTTTTGCCCGCGACTTCGTCCGCTACGAATAGTGACTTCCTTATAAAGGTAATGTAAAGGTACCTATAGAACAAAAATACTTCAGTTCAAAGCTTCCGGGTAAACTATATTAAAAGTTGACCCGTCCGGCACGTGAACATAAAGATTTTTATTACTGCTAACACGGGAAAGAGCAACATACAACTGACCAAGCGAGAAAAAACTGACACTGAGATCTACTCCAGCAACACGAAAAGTCTGCCCTTGAGTCTTGTTAATTGTCATTGCAAAACACACCGATACTAGGAATTGCGTCCTTTTAAATGGTAAATCTGACCTTGTATCTTAAAAGTGGGTATGAAAGGACCTTCTGAGATTTGTTGAGCACCAAAGGATATCATTTGAAATGCACTATTATAAGTGCGAAAATTATCTTAAAAGTGTTTAGATCGTATATGTTCACCTAAACCTTCACCACAATATATTATACAATAAAATTTAAACAACAGACAATATCGTTTTTTAAAAACTGGTTTATTTTTAGGTTAAGTGATTCAGTTCCTACAACAGATATAAATGGGAACTTTTTGTTTTATTATAATTTAATCTAAAGAAAATCTATTATTTTTTGTGAAAAGATACATAGTTATTGTATTTTCTATTTATGCCAATGAAGTCATAATGTTATATTTTTTATTTATTTTTCTACGACACAATATGTCGCTCGCTGTTTTGATGGAATTAAATTATTATATCATTTTAAAGCTTATAATCGCTTCAGAGTTCATTTTATGAAAGGAAGAGTTTGAAATTTATTTATTTTCTTATTAGATCATCAGTTTTTGTGGAAGATAAAAACTGTACTCTTATGTTCTTTTTATTATAGTTAGGTTTTATTTAAAAATAGTTTATAAAACTGCATATACATATTATAACTTAATTATGTTATAGTAAGTTTAGTTTGATGGAACAACTAAAGCCATCGAAGATGTTAGTTATTGTTAGTTAAGATCTCATCGTCTCTGTAACAGTGTTATAGTGTCTCCTGTTACTTTATACATCACAGTATTAACTACTCGATACTAGTGACGGGTCTAAGGAACATATCGTTTAACGTAAGTTCATCATCTCAACGAAATATCAATTATTCCTTATCATCCATTTACATTTTATATAATGAATATAATAAAGCAAAAAAAAAAAAGTTTTAAGTTAAAGTGTCCTCAATTTAATTTTAAATTTGTTTTCAGTTATTGCTTACATTACAATATTTGTAATGAAAAAAATTCAAGAATGATAATATTCAAAATGTATTTTTAATGATACAATAGCATGTACCTACTAAGTAAAAGACCTTTAAAAGTATTTAACTATAAAAGTTATCACTTAACTTCCAACATTAACATTATGTTCTTCATAAACTGAAAATTTAAGTTATAATATGAGCTATGGAGTCACTATAAACTTAATTCATATATAAAACTGTTATTGTATCAAACACACGGACCGTCAGTAAATCAATGACGCACGTTACGGTTTTAGAAAATCACAAATAATTGAGATCAGATCGTAAAAGATTCTTTATTTATAGTGTGGGTTTAAAATACGGAAGTAAAAATTGCATTTTTTGTTTGACAGACTGAAACATAAAATGCTGAATAAAATAGGAATGTAATAACTGCATTTATATGAAATGAGAAATGTCACGACATGTTTCACATGATACATTGTTTGATCTCTGCAGTTGTAATGTATAGTGTTGGTTTAGAAGTGAAATAATAAACAAGGAATTTAAAAATTAAAATATAACTTCGAAATAACATGATGAACTAAAATAATAATTAATTGACCATCATATAAATTAATAATAAATGATAAGCTGATACTGCAGCAGCTTTTTGTTGCCTTTTCATTTCATTTTGCATCTTCGACGTTATTTCTAAGATATCGAAAGACTATTGTTTAATGGCACTATTGTTTTTCGATGTTAAGAAATTAGAAAAAAATTAAATTAATAACTTTAACTACAAAAGTTACAATGCAATTTTGGAATTGTCTAAATAATCTAAATAATACTTAAATTAGATAAAAATAATACTTTGTTTAAAAGTGCTTTTGGAATACTTTTAGTTGTTGAATTATTTTCATAGTGTGTCGTTTTATTTATCCTCATCTAAAAGTAAGCTTTGTTAATCATGTCAGCTACCAAAAACTTATTGAGCTTAACGTTATTGAAGGTTTAAAAGGACAGTATGGATATCACGGAGATTTATGATTTTATAAGACACTTTTGTTACATCTATATGAAGCATTTAATATATTATTCACAGAACCCATTTTAACATTATAAAGCGACTTTGTATCAGCGACTACAGCTGATTTTTATTAGTTTTCTTGTAGCGTGTAAAATAGTCAACAAGAAAATCTATTTCCTCTTATATCACGTTTCCCTCGACTACATTTATAGCAAAATATACTTTTTGTGTTGTACTTCCTTTAACTCCTTTATAAATGAATGTGTAGATGAAGTAAATCTGTTTAACATTTTTATTGTTATATCGTAAATGATACGAATATAATATAGAGTAAGAGAATATAAGAAGAAAACATAATTTATAAATATAAACTTAGAAAAGTTTTGCGATAAATCTTTCGTTCGCCTTTGTTTGTGATATTTGTAAAGGTAATATATGTACATGTTATGTCGATGAAAATAATTGAATAATATTTGTAACTTATAAAACCTCTGTATTTATTATTTATATATATTGTATTTATATATTGTATTAAAAGTCAACATTTCGATCTCTGTAAAATGTAAATAAATACATATTTTATTATGGATCACTTGTTAACACAAATATAATTTCAATTTCACATGATATATCAAATGTGTTATTACTCATTGTGTCGATAATTTTTAATGGATTATATTTAATTAGAAAGTGCCTCAATGATAAATCATTACTACAATTTCGTCAAAATAAATATTGTACAAATTAAGTCATACCCAGGTAATTTTAGTAAGATACCAATTTATTTCATGTTAAACATCTTATCAACATAAGCACATTCCACGTTCTCATATTTTTTTACTGTTGATTATTTCAACCTGGGGTTAAAGAGATAAGACGATTAAAATGAAGAAACTGCGATTAAACAATATCAAGAAAACAGAAATAAACTCTGGAAATA